CTGAAAGCCTGCTTTGGAAGGACTGCCTCTTGGCCCCTTTGAATGGAATGTTATGTTATGCGGGTATTAACTATGCATGCACAAGACTAGTATGAATTGTGATGCTAGAATATCAGTTTATCATCAGACGGATTGCCTCTCCGTCTGTTTTGCTGCTTCATTATATTGGTGTCCTTTTCTCTTTTGCTGCTTTATTATATTCTTTTACATGAAAAAATAGTATTATAGCTTCTCCATGCGCTTAGTTGTTAAAAATATAAAAGGTTAAGATGTGGTTCTTTAAAAAAAGACTATGATATTACTCTAAAAAACTAGGATATTCTTCTTGGGAGGAATAGTGAACTGAGTTTGTTATTCTGATTTTTGTGAAGTAATGATATAGTGATATAGTTAATGTGGTTTCTGTATTTTTTAAAAAAAAACTCGGATAAAATAAGAGTAATACGGAATAGTACTAAATGTGGTTAAAGTGTAACTAAAGTAAAATAATTATTAAAGCAAGGAATGTTATCAAATTAGTTTGGTAACACATAGTTAACCGTACTACATAGTAAACAGTAATATTAATTTTTTTTGCTTATTTTGTATAAATATTTCATAAATTATTAATTTAGCAATATGTTATTTAGATGGATCTCGCTCGAAAACAATTTCTAAATGATAGTCAAGGAAGTCAAAACAAGAACGATGAAAGTCAAGAAAGTGCAACTACATGTCGAGTTAGTTGGACATAAGAATTAGTTCACCTCCTCTATGACCTCGGTCTGCAAAATGTTGAAAGGAGTAAGGGAAAAGGTGGTGGAGTAACTGGTCAAAGGTTGACATGGAAGAAAATGCAAGCTGGATTTGTCAGACGTACAAACACCTTCATTGGAATAAAGGTAAATTTAAGCATAAGGTGGATTGGATGAGACATAGGTGGGGTCTTTGGAAACTATTGAAAGGAAAGGAGATGGGATTGGGATGAGATCCTGTAAAAGGAACTATTGATGCCTCTCATGAGTGGTGGAATTTCAAGATTAAGGTTAGTTTTTTTATTATTGTTGTTTAACTTGTTTTAGTACGTGTTTTAATTTTAACTACTTAGAAGTTATTTTAAGCTTTAATTTTGTATAGGAGAATTCCGCATTTAAGCCCTTTCGAGAAGAAGGGGTTGAACCAGAACTTGAATATAAGATGGATCAAATGTTTGGGTTTTATGCCCAAGGTGCATTAAAATACACTCCGGTGTGTGATCTCACAGAAGAACATATGCAAGTTGAAGATGACAATGTGTATGTTCCTTCATCACCTCGTAGTGGTACTCATCACAATCACCTTGACGACATAGATGCTTCGTATGGTGGTGGTACTTCTAATACTCGTGAAGCATGGGATGATGTATGGAGAGACGATAGCCCCCTCCTTTCTCTCATATTGGTACACAAATGGAAACAGGCGAAAGAAGGAGCAATAAGAGTGCACGAGTTGCAATGAATGATATACCACAATCTAATAAGAGTGCACGAGTTGAAACCACAAAGAGAGCAGGTAAAAGTAAACCATTGGGTGACAAACTTGATAACATGATGCAGCTTATTGGAGAAAGGAATGATACATCTAAGGGAGTGCAATTGTCAATGATGAATGTCATGGACTCAATGATCACACCAAAGAATGGAGAAATTATTGAAGCACTAGCAAAATTATGTGTTTTGCGAAATTTAGATCCAAGCACGCCTGGATTTTATTTTGCTTGCACGATGATTGAGGATCCACAAAAAAGATGCATTCTCCTAGGGTTACCAAATGAGCAGATGAGAGTTGAGTACATCAAGTTTGTGTATGCTGAGCAGAAGAAGATTTAAAAAGACATCACTATGTTTGCATTAGTGTTTTTATCTCTTTTAAACTTAGTAATGAACTTAGGTTATGAATTGCCATATTTTCGTAACTTTATTAATCTAGAAACTTCTTTATGAGCTTATATGTTATGGATTTCCATATTTCAACAACCCTATTAGTTTACTATATATGCTTGTCATGTTTGGATTTAATACATTGGCATTATGATTTTGCTATATTATTGAAATTTCTTGTAACCATGTTATTAATTATTATTGGCTTACAGTATTAGTACTTGTATTTTTGTATGCATGGATGATACTTATATAATCATTCGGAAACTTATCATAGTTAAAGAGTATTTGGATGATGATGATGAATTTTGGGATTTGTTAGCTTGTACTACCGGCTATATGTATGTGTGCTTTATGAATCACATATACAAAGAGCGTTGTATGGCATCCTACTTAACCGGACAAAGATGGATGGATGAATTGTTGTGTGGTCATGAAAAACGGTGTTTTAATGCATTCAGAATGAATCCGAGTACGTTTCGTCAATTATGTGCAGATTTGGAAACAAAGTATGGATTAGTAGCTTCAAGTAGGATGTCAACTTTGGAGAAACTTGGCTTGTTTGTTCTTCTAATCGAGATACTAAAAAACGTTTTCAACATTCGGGTGAAACTGTGAGTAGAATTTTCAAAGAGGTATTGAATATCATGGTAGCATTTTCAAGGGACATGCTTAAACATAAATACCCCGAGTTCAAAGAGGTTCCAACATAGATTGTCAATGATGCTAGATATATGCCACATTTTAAGGTAACTTGATACCATGGTCATTCCTTTTAGTTCATTAAATAAACTATTAGTGCAATTTTTTAGTGGTATTTTAATATTAGAATTGCATTGGAGCGATTGATGGAACCCATATTGCAATAACTGTTAGAGAGGAAGATCAAATGCGTTATTGAGGGGGGAAAGGGATACCAACCACAAATGTTTTGGCAGCATGTGATTTTAATTTATTATTCACATATGTTTTGACTGGATGGGAGGGGACTTCACATGATGCTCGCATTTTCCTCGATGCAATCAATAATCCAAGTCTCAATTTTCCAAAACCACCTCCAGGTACTTGATTTTTTATACCAAGTGCATGGCAAATAAATAGTTTATCATATTCATTTTATGTGTATATATATATATATATATATATATATATATATATATAGGTAAATATTACTTAGTTGATAAAGGTTTCTCATAAAGACAAGGGTATCTCACACCTTACTTCAAGACAAGGTATCATCAAACAGAATTTCGTGCTGCAAATCCAAGGGGATCTCGAGAAGTGTTTAATCGAGCACATTCATCTCTAAGAAGTTGCATTGAGAGGGCTTTCGGAGTCCTAAAGGCTCAGTGGAGAATATTACAAAAAATGCCCATATATTCATTATGTGACCAGAATAAGATAATTTGTTCTTGTTTTGCATTGCATAACTACATTCGGAAAAGCACTATTGGGGATCCGTGTTTTAATATCATTGATGAAGATCCAGATTTCATACCAGATGATATCTTTCGCGACGTTGAGTCTACTTCTGGACAAGGCGTTGAACATATGAGAGTCCGCGAAATGACAATTATTCGTGATAGTATTGCAGCTAGTTTAATGGGAAGGAAAAGGCGTTCTTAGAGAATAGTATGATTTTTTTAAGATACGTTATCGTTACGATTAAGTGACTCTTAGTATTTTTTAGGGAAAAGGTGCAAATAGGCCCATGTACTAATCAAAAAAGGTCAAATAAGCCCTTATTTAGGAGACTCTGTCCGGCCGTCGTCATTTGGGGTGGTTCCCGGTGGAATTGTTTGATGAAATTTTTTTAGCATCTTATTCATCAAGTCTAGTTTAATCATACCGAATTTCACCTAAAACTTCAATCGGGAAGGCATTCAAATGAATTTTTGAAGATAACTGCGCTTCTAACTGCACAATTATTTTCAAGAATTCATTTGAATGCCTTACCGTTTGAGGTTTTAGCTGAAATTTGGTATGAGTAAACTAGACTTATTGAATAAGATGCTAAAAAAAATTCATCAAAAAATTCCAACGGGAACCACCCCAAATGGCGACGGCCGGACAGAGCCTTCTAAATAAGGGTTTATTTGACCTTTTTTGGTTAGTACATGGGCCTATTTGCACCTTTTCCCTATTTTTTATTGAGATATTACTCGAAATAGGACTAAAAAAGTTTCAAAATTCCAAAATAGGACTGCCATGTTTTTATTCCCAAATAGGACTAATTACTGTCATGTTTTGGCAGTACCAGACTTCAAACATGACTGTATTTTCCAAACATGGCAGTAATTACTCATATTTTGGGAATAGAAAACTTGGCAGTCCTATTTTGGAATTTTCAAATTGTTTTAGTCCTATTTCGGGAACTTTCCCTTTTTTATTATGGTGACATTGTATTTAAATGCATTTTTTACTTTTGTTAGACAACTTTTCTTAATGTATTTTTACTTATAACTCAATTTAGCTTTGTCTTGTGGCACGGAAAGTCCACTGAGGAAAATGTACAGAGAGTCTTGTTACAAAATACACTACGTAATTTTTTATCTTAAAATAATAATAATAATAATAACAATAATAATAATAATTGATGTAAAGTAAATTTTACATTTTTGAATCATAAAAACGGTTTAGCTAGGAAATTATATACGAAGTATTATTTACATTAACTAAATAAAAAAATAATTGATGTCCTTAATTGTCATTTAACAAGATATCAGCTAATTTCAAACAGCCGTTTAATCAAACACTATTTTACTAACGGCTAATACTACCAGCTAATTAATACAGCCAACAAAATACGTTGTTATCAATAAGCCAACAAAATCGGCCAACAGCTAACAGCCAACAACCAATTGTCAAACACCCCCTAAGTCACTTTGAAGTTTGAGAATGTTTTTACTTCGATTGTAATTCGTCCCAGACCAGACATTAATTATAAAAATACAAAGAAACCAAATCAGATTAGCCCAGATCAACAAATTAAGTCACACTCTCAAATCTCAATCAAATTTATGTTTTTGCAATACAATAAGTACCAAATTTTGGAGAAATAAAGTATGCATGATAACCCATGCAAGACCCATCCTTTGCTAATTTGACTTGACCTATGTGCAGCGCCTATGTGACCCAACCACACAGAATAAACCGAGACACTTTTGGCATGCACAGAGAAGAGACTTCACAGGAAAGGTTCATGGTTGCGGATAAAAAGCGTTTTGAAGGTTCAGCTTCTTCTGCACACTGAAGCTGTGAAAAGTTAAAACCCCGAATAGGGGCGGGGATGGGCATGTCTTGGACTTCGAGAATTCTCGGCGGCTCCAGTTTTCCACACTCCCAGTAATCTTGGAATTCCGATTAGAATATCAGGGAATTTGATCCGTAAAACCCACGGACAATCTGATTCTCACCTTATCCCTTCCTTTCCGTTCAATTCTTCTTTCTGATCCTTCGAGGTCACGCATCCGTTTGTATGAATCACATGAAACCCCCCATTTCAAATCTTGGTGAGACGGAGTGTAGTGAGTGCGCTAGGGTGGGTCGGTTCGGTTTCCTGAATCGAAGTCGGAATGGGAGTGAGAGACGCGATCAATAGAACTCTGATATGCTTCGTGGTGTTCGGCGTTTTTCTAGTGGGGACTTTGATTTACATTGGAACAATTGATTACAGATCGAGATTCGCGATATTTGATTCCCCTGTGAGGAACTCCGCGGGCTGCCCGGATGCCAGGCAGCCCCTTAAGGTGTACATGTACGATCTGGAAATGAAGTACAATGTGGGGCTGATGAAAGGCGGCCATGTCAGCGGGAAGCCTGTGACGGCGTCTACTCTGCCGCCGTGGCCGGATAGTTATGGGGGGCTGAGGAGGCAGCACAGCGTGGAGTATTGGATGTTGGCGTCTCTGCTGTACGAAGGTAATGAGGTGAATGGTGCAGAAGAGGGGGAGTTCGTTAGAGTTTCGGATCCCGAATCGGCAGATGTGTTCTTCGTGCCCTTCTTTTCCTCGCTGAGCTACAATACATACGTTAGGCACGGGGATTATTCAGAAGAGAAGTTTGATGTCCAATTGCAGGTCCTTAATTGTTCTTCTTTTTATCTGGTTGTGTGATTATTTAAATCCAAATGCTAGATATATGTTTTCCCGGACCAGGTGGAAATCATTTCCAGGGCCTCAAAGAACAATAAAATCTTTTTATTGTTCTTCTTTCTAACATCTTTATTCTAAAAACCTCTCCTTCACCCCTTTCTAATAATCTAGTTAAATGTTGCTCTTGAATATTAACTTCATTAAAATAAATGAGGGATGGGTTTTTGAAAACGTTAATGCTCGTTTTATTACATGCAATAGTCTGAAGTTGCTCTTGTGTTCCGTAATTGTTCGAATATAAAGCTCAACATATGATGTTATGTTATTATTGGTCCTAAAATTTTAGCTTTCCTCGGCTCTAGGAGCATTCTTTTAAAGAAAGTGTCTTTCTTGCTCTTAGCAATAACTGAGTTGGAGAAATGAAAATGGAGTGATAGTGGTCTCATACTCAATTACATGGTTAAGAGGGTATTTTGGACTGGCTTTGAGGCTTGCCTAGGTGTGAGGTGGTGAAGAAATGCCTTAAGGCTTTAGTTTCAAGTGAATCAACACACATCAGATGGTTGATGATTTCTTTTAGGCTTAAGCCTCAATATTTTTTTTAATGTTTTCTCTTGTCTTGTTACTTTTAATAAAAGTATATTGAGCCTATTAATACATGTGTTCTGATAATCGATCATCTTTACACAGCCCTACTTATAAACGTTTCTTATTTCACATAACCTACAGCTACTACCGCTGTTCACCTCTTCCTTTTTTTTGTTTGCAGCGGACTCAAATAACTCCAGCCATTTCTTCTCTGTTTTCCCCATTTGAACAAGCTTTTCTATTTTTTTTTCGAGGACAAAAATCAATTTTTCTTTGAAGGGTTAAACATATGATAGTGGTTAATGACACTAAATTCTGAGTTCTTTCATGAATATGATTGATAATATGTTTTAGATTGTGATTTTTAATGAAAGTTATTTATAAAGCTCTAGGCTTACGCCTTAAAGTCTTAAACCGTCTTAAGGCTTACATGTCACTTCACAAATCCAGAAAGCCTCAAGGCTAAAAAGCGCCTTTCTTAACATTGCCTAATTATGGCAGTATTTATAAACACAGATTTGTTTGACTGCAATGCTGCAACCATTATAAAAGTTGTGGTACTAGTGATAAAACTTTGATTTAACAGACTTTATCCTGACCTTTTGTTGACATCAATTGTTTTATGCCCTAAAGACGTACTCTTACTTACATGTTCAGTTTAAAATGCTTACTAGGCATTTGATAGATCAGAGATCAGTATAGTGGGTTGTTTCCTGTTGATATATGACTTAAGTATTTAATCTATATATTAAATCTGACTGCATTTTAGTTTTGCTGAACTGATTGAAATTTCTTCTCCTTGCTCCAGGCTGAAATTGTTGAATTTCTGAAGAAGTCCAAATATTGGAAGCAATCCGATGGTAGAGATCATGTAATCCCCTTGCATCATCCAAATGCCTTCAAGTTTCACAAAGCTCAGGTTAAAAGGGCTATTTGGGTTGTAGCCGACTTTGGCCGTGCTAACCGAAATTTATCTAATCTGCGGAAAGATATTGTGGCCCCATATGTACATGTGGTTGAATCGTTTGTTGATGATGATCCTCCAGACCCGTTTGAGTCTCGCCCCACACTTCTCTTTTTCCGAGGGAGGACAATTAGGAAAGATGTATGTAAGATTGACACTTATAAGGATATATAAGGATATAATCATATGTTTGAAAATCTCGATTTAACATAGCTTGTATCTGATTCGTTCCTCACATCCCAGGATGGAAGAGATCGTTTGACATTGCAGAAAATATTAGCTGGTGAAAGGGATGTTGTGTTCCAAGGAAGTGAAGATGTGACAAATATTGGCATACAAAATGTAAGTACCTTGCACGTCCAATTAAGTGTACTAAACCTATCATATTTCAGTGTGCAGTTTGTAATGATTATTCCTAACTTGCATATAACTTCGCTCATGTGTCTGTGGCTAAAAAGATATGCATCTAATTATCTAAATACGACCTTCTTAAGATTGATTATTGTCATATATTCTGCTTTACATTTTTCTTATCATTACTCTTGTCCTTTTCAACAAAGAGTCCCGATTAAAAAACTTCTATCCCAAAAAAAGAAACATGTTTGATTAAATAAAGCTGAATTATAAACTAAGAAGCTTTTATAAAGCATACGTCGCATGACTGATTTATAATGGTTGTGCACCAGATAGCCTTCCAAATAAGGTTTAGCTTAAGCGCCAGAGTACTAAATCGCTGATAACTAGCCAAATAGTAAAATTGTTCTTTTTTATCAAATAAAAAATATACGCCAGTAGTCCCACCGTCCCAGTACACATATCACTTACTACCTCTGTCGCAAACCAAGAGTCATGTTTTACCAATGTACAAGTGTACAACTATTATACTGTGAAATTGGTTATGTTCCATGATTTGCATTTTTGTTTCACAGTATCAATCATGTAATGGACATGACAATAGTAACCATCTTAAGTCATCTCCGACTCATGATATTAAACATGCAACTGGAAATAACCTAATATTATTAATTTATTTTAGAATTCCATCTTATATTGCTTCATAGGAAGGTTGTGAAAAAATAGCAGTATGCTCAAAACATTGCCAATCAGCCTTTATGCATGGATTGATTAGTTCACTAATCTTAGAAAATCCTTAGGTTGTTTTAAATTGCCCCATATAAGGTGCTGATAACTATGATTAATTTATGTTGTCAAATGATAAATCATACCAGGCCATCAACAAAGATACATTACCAAAAGAAAGTTAATATATGACATTTACATTGTCTAAACTCTAAACAATGAGAGGTGTGGGGTGTTAGTTCTTGGCAGGGGTTTAAGTAATAAAGCTGAAAGCATTGGAGATTTAACCAGTTAGACTTTACCATTAGTAAGCAAAGAATCATATTAACCATATCAAGTCATTTTTTACTTTCCATCATGGCCCTTTATTTGTAGATCTTTGACATGTGTAATAATGCTGGATTAGATCTTTTGAACATGTTTTTTTTTTGTTTTCACTACAGTCCACCAAGGGAATGCGTTTGTCGAAGTTCTGCCTACATCCTGCTGGAGACACTCCCTCATCATGTCGCCTCTTTGATGCTATAGTGAGCCATTGTGTTCCTGTTATTGTGAGTGACAAAATTGAGCTACCCTATGAAGATGAAATTGATTACAGTGAGTTTTCTATCTTTGTCTCACGCGAGGATGCTAAGAAAGAAGGCTATATAGTGAATCAGCTAAGAAATGTTTCAAAAACAAGATGGCTTGAGATGTGGAGGCTGCTTAAAAACATTTCCCATCGCTTTGAGTTTCAGTACCCTCCTAAGAAGGGTGACGCTGTCAGTATGTTGTGGAGGCAGGTTAGGCACAAGCTTCCTGCTGCAAATCTTGATGTACATAGAAGCAAGAGGTTGAAGGTACCTGATCCATGGTGGAGATAGTTCAAACCATTCTTCTAAGTCACCCTCATATGTAATCCTTCATTCTTGGAATAATGAACGCCGAAAATAGGGCTCTTTTGGTGAATGTGTAACAAGAATTGGTAGCAAGTCCAACAAGAGGCAAGGCCCACAAAATTTGAAACATGTGCACTACAAAATGTGTGAAGAGAGGAGGTTTCAGAAGGAAAGGATTACAGAACTAAAGACACACGAGGAAGAAGAAAAGAAATTTTAGGGGGCCATAAGCAAAGACCCCTTTCCTAAAAATGAGTAGTGTTGATTAGTCTAGAGTTTATACCTTTTAGTTTTGGCAAGTGATAAATGTTACTCCGTACTACTATATATTAACAATTCTACGTATTATTTAATTTTATTCATAAGTTTAACTAAATTTATCGTACGTATAATCTGTGTGACTTCTTTTGTAACTTCTATGAAAGATTTTCTTTATATAATCAAATAGAACTCCTCTATTGGTAAAATTTTGCAATATGGCACTTTGTTAGGTTGAAATAATGATGATGAAATGAATAACTAACCAACCATAAAATAAATAAGGATATAATTAATGGGAGATTGGGAGGTGTGCAAGTATATGAGTTTGGTGTTGCACCGTTGCATCACTCCATCTACTTAGGCATGGCAATGGGTCGGGGCGGGTATTGCAAGACCCGGACCCACTCCGTGGCTTGACGGGGCGGGTCCGCCCCGCCCCATGACCTGCACGGGTCCAAATTTGTTGACCCATGACCCGCCCCGCCGCAACCTAATTAGCTAGTATGTATATTTATTTGTGAGAAGTTGTTACCAATTGAATCTACATAATGTTTATCTCTAAATAATAATTAAAAATCAATATATTAAATCAAATTCATGATACGCTAAAAATTTCAAAAATTAAGGAAAAATTACTCAAACTTGAATAGTTAATCTAATTAGTTATATTAATAATTGAATATATGTATTAAAATTCTATATATAAAGAAGACATTGATAATCCGTCGTGCATCTCATTCTAATATATATTCATATATTATAAGATCAAAGAATTTATGATTTATTGTATACACACATATGTATTTTGTAGTATAATTTAAGAAAAAGTATGTATACTTATATATTGAGCGGGTCGGGGCGGGGCGGGTCGGGGCGGCACGGGTCAATTCTAATACCCGGACCCGCCCCATTGTATAGGCGGGGCGGGGCGGACCCGCTCCATTTGCAAGACGGGGCGGGGCGGACCCGCCCCAAATGTCTCGGGCCAAGGCGGGTCATTGCGGGTCGGGTTTTTTTGACATCCCTACATCTACTACCATCTATTATTCCACAGCGTTTTTATATAAGTAATCCATCACTCCATCTACTACCATCTATTATCCCATAGCGTTTGTATAAGAAAATCATCTTTTGTGAATTGGTCATAATAATTTCTATTTTAAAAATAAAGGGTTATACTCCTTCCATTCCGAAAAGGTTGACCTAGTTGACTTTCACGTGGATTAATAAAGTAAAAATTGTGTGATTGAAATTTGTGCAGAGGAAAGAAAATTAACTTTAGCCACATATTTCTTATTTTAAATGAACATGACAAATCTTTTTAGGACATACCCCATCCGTCTCGCTATGATTGTCCCATTTTACCATTTTAGTCCGTCCCACTAAAATTGTCTCATACCTTATTTGGTAAAGTTTGTGTGGTTCTAAATCATTACTATTTTATTCTTACTTTATCAATTCAATATCAACCACATAAGCTCACTTTTCTTCATAAACGTGTCACCTTCTTTTGTCTCAAACTTAGGGGGACGGAGGTAGTACAAAAAAGGAAATTTGGCCAACCTTTTCGGGACGAAGGGAGTATAACATACTGATGTTTTCCTTTGAATTGTTTTTAGTCCCAAACAGATCAAATCAGACCAGAATTAAACAAAATAGTTTGGATAGTTATAAAATACATATAGACCAGATGTTTGTCAGACCAGTTCAGATCAGACCAGCAAATTTCAATTAAAAAGAAAACATCCTTGTGAGTCCTGACTCCTTAGTCCTGACTCGTGAATCGTGATGAGAAAACATGCATGGGCCGGACCTTTTATTCCTCCAGCTGAAGCCCACCGAGAGCCCGAAATTCTAAATCCCTTCCCGTAGCTTCTAGATCCTGCTGAAAAACAGCGTCTCCACAAAAGCGGAATCTTTCCCTATAAAAAATCTTTCATTGAGGCACAGGATCACGTGACTTTCTGTTTGCAACTTTACATCGACGAAATCGCACGTATTCTTTTCTATTAGTTCTTCTACAGAAGCTTCAGGTTGATCACAATTATCGTAGTCGTCGCAAAATCGAGAAAATGGATTCTGAGAAGGTGAGTTTGTATTGATCTATTTTTTAGATTCGTTATCTTTGTCTTCATCGAATGAGTCGAATTTTCGTTTCTTTTAATTAATAAATTTGGATCGGCTTGTACAGATTGAGACGGAGAAGCGTGAGAGAAAATTGAAGCACCTGGGTTTCGTGAAAGTGATTACCTTCAACGCCGTCGTGTTGGTATCGAATCTGTACGAGTATGCGAAGCAGAACTCTGGACCGCTCAGATCGACCGTTGGTACGGTGGAAAACGCCGTGACGACTGTGGTTAAGCCTGTATACGAGAAATTGAAAGATGTTCCAGATGATGTCCTTGTATTTTTGGATAAGAAGGTAATTTATTGATTTGATCAATCAGGGCATGTTTTTTTGTTTGTTTTATGGTTTTCCAAAGATATATGATACATTGATGAATAAAGATCAATCATTTGCTATACTGCAAACAAAAAACTAAAAACAGCTTTGTATTGGTTTTCATAATTTCTTTTTTTTTTGTTTTCAAATAACAAAAAACAAAAAAAAATGATATCGGCCTGGGCTTGGTTAATTGTTTCGTTGTTTGTGTATGCTTTTTGTAAAATTATTCGGTGTTTGAACCCACCCAATTAACATGCAACTTGTACTGAATTAAAACGTTTCCCGTCCTGTAAATCCGTGAGTGATGATGATATGTTTTGAGTTTTACTGTTTTTAATAAGAAAGTTGTGGTTTTTTGTGCATGAAGAAAGAGTAATCTAAAAAACAAATACGGAGTATAACAGATTAGTGCCATCCAGATTCATAGTACACAACAGGCCACCCAAAGAATAGTCACACACAGTCTCAATATTTGGGGGGTACTTTTTATGAGGGAGACCCTCATTAAATAGTCAGATAAATTCAGGCTCTTGATTACCTCATTAGGAAAAATATCAAATATCCTAAATCTATGAAGGAGATCCCCGCGAATGGTAAGAAATTCGGCTAATTGTATTCCCTTCTCTGTGTATATGCTTCAAATTAATAGCTGCCACTGTCATTTTCTTTGATATCCTCATCATATCATGAGCTGTGGCATAAAGAGATACCAGCTTGAGAATCAGCTTCAATACATATTTGTCTTTTATGTGAAAAGGGATGTGTTGTCCTTCAGATAAACATTTTTATTTGTATGTGGTGTATAACCATTTTGCTAGAGGAGTTTGTATGATAACTTAGCACAACCTAAGCAAACCCAACATTTGGTGTGCGGGTGTGCCTGAGCTTAACCTTATAAAATAGACGAGCTGCACCAATATTTTATTTGTTTAATTTGTGAGGTCTTCTTATGACCAAAGTTCATCATCTCTCCGCAAAAGGGGTTTGATTTAATAGCCTTCTTACCAAAACAGAGTAATATTTCAAACAAAGCTATTTTATTTTTATCTTATTTTCCTAAATAATTCTGCAAGGCATGTGAAGTTATTTTTTTAAATACTAGTGACATAATGTTTGTATCTTGGTCAGACATGACTTATTATGTTGTATAGTTGTAGTGTTACACCGGCATCGATCATCTTAGTGGTTCTAAACCTCCAAAATTCCAAGTGAAGCCAAACATGTTTGTGTATGAACCTGTCCAGATGGTTTGTTTGCTTTTCCAATGTGCTCTATTCTGCATGATGTGGTGATCCTCTGCACCAGAAATGTGCCCCCCACCTTCTAATATTGTATTCCGGATTTCAAACCCTTGAATGACTGCTGTGTATTTCTCCTCCACAATAGTCGTGGATTAGAATCAGTAAATACACAAGGCATTAATTGAAAATTGTTTTTTCATAATAGATCTCATCTTACATGCAGATTACCACGTTAGCCATTTTCATTGATATTTCTGTTGCATACCATGTTTTTTTATCAGGTGGATGTAGCAACTGAGACATTTAATGAACGTGCACCGCCTATGGTCAAGACACTCACGAATCAAGCCCAAGTTATTGTCGTGAGTGTATCTCATGTCGCTCAAGATTTGATCAATGAAGCTCGTCTGGCTGGTCCACGAGCAGCTATCAACCATGCAGGTCAGATGTCAAAGCAGTTTGGAGTGAATCAGCTGGCAGTGATATGGTACCGTGTGAATCTTTCCCCAACCTTGCATGGTGTAGCAGTTGTAGCTGCATCAATGGCTGCTCACGGTTCTGAGAAGTATAACAAACTGATTAAAGATATGAAGGCAAAGGGCTATGATATATTCAGCTATGCTCCATTGGTTCCTGTTGAAGAAATCTGCAAGGCATACAAGCAGGTGGAGGCTACAGCAACAAAGAAGGACGATGACACTTCCTCAGAATCATCAACAGAATAGGATGGTTTTATGCGCCCAAATCTTGTTAACACAAATATATATGTTCTATACATTGAACGCCTAGTGGCCCTAGTGTGATGAATTGCTGCTGTAGCAAAAGTGTTGTATAAAATGACTTGACATCCTCAGGATGTATTTAATGTGAACATGATTTCCTTAAAATATTGTTATTGTTCATAAATATCAAGACTTTTCCAGTCTTATACCTGGCCCTACTTCTAGATTTCCCAGGGTTGACCGGTTGAGGACCTCATTGCATTGAGCAAAACAGAGTGATCATGAAGGAGGTTCTCTGAAAATGAAAAGAGGTAGTTTCCAGAATTATATTTTTTTTATCATCAAAACATGCATCTATTCATATAAAAAATTCTGGATCATTACATCAAACAAAGAGCAACATGAATTGCTAACCATGTAGTGGGCTTGACACAGCCAAACCTGTTCTCATAAATCCAACCATACCCAATGACATAAAGATAGACTAAAAACTCAAACAAATTGTCAAAACCAACAAAGATGAACACAAGAAAACAAATGACAAACAGAAAAAAATTACTAGGAAAACTTTCACAGACTCTAGCACCTCGTACAACCCATGTCGGTGGTTCGGTGGAGGTCGGACCGTCGCTCGATTGATACCCTCTTTCACTGGCGTACCCGTCGTATGACACAAATCCATGCCATCGAATGAAGCGTTTAGCCTCTCCACGCTAACCATGTCCCGATCCTCCCTATGTCCCCCTCGCTTCTTCCACCATCTTCTCGCTGACACTATCATCCATCATGAGCTACGTCCAAACCACGGCAATCCGGCGTAGTGCAGCGTCGATTGAAAGAAATGCAGCACCAGAGCGGCGAAGATAAAACCCTACGCGAGAGATCTCGCTAGGGAAACACTGACTAAACTTCGAATAAAGAAAGATCGAAATCGGAAATAAGCTAGCGGCGGCTCTGCCCTAGGAGCTCTCTACGCCTCAACGGAGTTCGTTCCTCTTAAAAGAACAAAACAATTATGGTCCAGAATTATATGAAATGTAAATAATGTGAATCATTACAGGCATTTAAATGTAACTTGTTGAAATGTAAACTGTTTTAATAGAAATGTAACTTGGAAACAAGTCAGATGTAACTTGGGATATCTAACTTTAAGTCTTTAACCAATTGAAATGTAAAACTCCTTTATAGAGATGTAACTTCATGTATTAATTTGACTGCGCTGTTTATACATATATAGAGTTTTTTTTATTGCCTTCCAGATTGAATTTTTAGCTGAATTTGATATGGATAAACTAGACTTGATGAAGAACATGTTTAAAAAATGTCATAAAAAATTATAAAGGAAAGGACCCGTCGGCAGTCCTTTCAATATGAAGTGCCCTCTATATCATTGAAATGTAACAACTAACAACAAGCAAAAATGTAAATTAGAGTTTAAATATCAATATATTAGTTTATCGCCCCTCGCAAAAAAAACTCGCAAAAAAACTTTCTAGAATTAAGACAAGAACTAGACAGAATATTATATTACTCCGTAATAATTACTCGTAATAAATAAAATAAGATGTTTTAAAATAAATCTTTTATGGCATCAATTGAATATACTTATATCAAATCTCAATATTATCGAGAAGCCAACCCATCGTGATGATAACATCCGCCATGAATCGAAGGAGATGCTCTTACGTTCGATGTTACATTGTTATGTCCGAGCAAAACATTCTAAATTGGCAACATTCCAAGGCTCCAACATTCCTAATAGGCAAACTAATGGATGAGCTTAGCCGTGGCTTCAAACGGCAAACCATACCAAACTAGGGGTGGACTCGTACCCGGTCCCAGGTCTTGATTCTTGTCCCGAACTAGCTGATCCTGAGTCCCTAATTATACGGGTCGTGATCCCTATCCGGGTACCCAGTCCGGTCCTGGGACGGTTTGGGCCCACCTCTTTAATTTAAATACCGGAGTAAAAGAAATCAGATGTTGGGACCGGAATCAAGACCGCCCGATCTGGTCCCCATTTCTTTAACCCGAGACCAGGCTCGCCGGATACCCGGTTCTGCATTGATACCGCAAACCGGTCCCGGTCCCAATCCGTGACTGCCGACGGGTCCACCCCTATACCAAACTAACCATCATTTTACGAATCATGAATATTGATTTTTTGTTGTAAATTTCACGACTTTTATGTTTGTTTGTAAAAGAAATTTTTGAAAAAATTATATATTGAATTTAATACTCCGTAGAATTTAATTAATGCCTTAAAAACAATATTGGGAATAATCTACATAATTGAAACAATGGCCAAATTACCAGATTGGTGAAAAAAAAGGGTTGTTAGACAGATTGGTAAAAAAAAACAATTTGAGGCAAATTGGTAAAAAAAAAGCCCTAGTGACAAATTGGTCAATTTTTTTAGAGTGATAAACTTTTTATTCCCGGCTTTAGAATTCCCAACATTTCATATTATAAGTATTGTGAAATTGACATTTGCAACCCCTTTACTTTGATTTTGTCATCAAAAGTGGAGGTCTAAAAATGTCAACGATCGTGTTTGATAATAGCAGTTGTTTGCTAGCTCATAGTCGGTTGTATCAGCAGATTGATATTAGCGGATTCCGTTAGTTTTTTTAACTAACCGCTTTCATTAGCATTTTGAATTACAATGTAAGTAACATAAAACTTGCAATTAGCTTTTCAAACGTAAAATGACCGTCAAAAATGAATTTAAAAGTTTATATATTTAAATTAATTTTATTTCTTTTTATTTTTAATAAGTCTTGGAAAAAGTTTTAAAAAATATGTTTACATTTATTTTAAATATAATTAATGACACAATCATTTTTAAGATACGTACATTTATGCTAGTACACACATATAAATTCATATATTTTTAGTATTAGTATTTTAAATATGACCATTTATTAGTTTTTTAAATCTACTCCATTAAAAAATCTACTCCATATGACTATTTATTAGTTTTTTAAAATCTACTCCATGGTTATTTAAAACAAATATAAATATAATTTTTAAAACCTTTTGAAAGACTTAATAAAAATAAAAGAAATAAAGTTATTATAAATATATATACTTTTAAATTCATATTTTTATGGTTATTTTACGTCGTAACATTTAATCGCAAATAATTAAGTTACTAACATTTTATTTCAATTGCTAAAGAAAGCAATTAGTTATAGAAGATAATGGAATCCACTATTATCAATATGTTGATTCAACCGTCTATGAGCTAGCAGACAACTGCTATTATCAAACATGACCGTTGACATTTTTAGACATCCACTTTTGATGACAAAATAAAAGTAAAAGGGCTGCAAATGTCAATTTCACAATATTTATAATATGATATGTCGAGAATTCTAAAGTCGGGAATCAAAAGTTTATCATTCTAAAAAAATTGACCAATTTGTCACTAGAGCTTCTTCTTTTTACCAATTTGTCTCAAATTGTTTTTTTTACCAATTTGTCCAACAACCCTCTTTTTTTTACCAAGTCGGGAAACAATACACATGTTTTAGTGAGCATTAGATCAATACATTACATATTCAGGATTGTTAGAACAATCTTCAATGACTTTCATACATTGTTTAAAAAACCATGAAGTACATGACAGAATAACCTAAGATACATTCTGTAATAGTATTGTCAAATGCAAGAATGATTATCTCAATGTTTGAAAATATTAATTTTCTTATGACAAAGTTCCTCAAAATGTAACAAGTAACTTAGTACAATCACTCCACTCCAAAGGGAATATAAGAAAGTAGTTGACAACCGGTATAAGGAAACTTAATAATAAAGGAATATTCTTAATCACAATAAATTACACAGAATACACACAAGTAAAATATTCCAAAAATGCAATATTTGCAGTTATGGTTCATAACACCAGACAAAAAAAATCACTCTTCCTAAAACCAAGTTTCCTCCATAGAGAGATCCGCAAAAAAGTTACTCTTTCGCGAAGCTTTTGAAAAAGCAAACACTTGTGCAATGTTATGTAAACTTTTCAGAGAGGAACTTTTCATTCGATAGTATGTTTTCTTCTTCTCTTGCGAGTAATTCCATGTCTGGGCAATGTACTGTGACAGAGAGACAAAACATTTCCTTAGAGAAATAAGCGAACAAAATAGAAGTAGGGCAAACTTGGGAAGTAAAACAGGAAGCTAAAAGTAAAAATTGACTAAGGATGTTTTTACTTGGAATGTAATTTATCCCAGACCAGACCAGACTTGGATAGTTATAAAAACCAAACCAAACCAGACCAGTGCAGACCAGACCAGCAAATTACACTCCAAGTAAAAACATCCTAAGCAAGTACGAATATGAATATATACCTACTATTCTCGTGAATCTCTACGATCACTTATAAACTTGCATCTACCTACTCTTACAAGTTAAAACTCTTCGTAGCAGAATTTGGTTCTCAAGCTACCCAGAAATCCACACTGTATCAAACATGCAGCACTTGCTCGAAATCACCAAATATCCCAAGGCTAAACCAAGAAAAAAACTCATCTTTGGTATGCCATGCACATGCTTTGTCCAGCCAGCCTCTTTCTCCATTGGGTTAAGTACAGACCTCCGTTAACTTGGCGATAGAATTACGAGTAATAAACAAAGCACATAGTACTCCTCCGTGTTAAAGAAAAACATAAACTTCATCCTCATCATCAGCTGTGTGCAACGTCAAAAGCTGGCGTAGAACTTGACATATATCATTCGAAAATGGCATTGAATCATCACCTGAAAGGAATTCATGGACCAACCCGTCCAACTCAATCAGACTGCACCCTGGCGTCTTCTTCATCCTCCTCCTCCTCATGAATCTCCTCATCATCGACACATAGTCCCACTTTCCCAAATCTGCATACACGTTTGTCAGAAGCACGTAGTTTCCGCTATCATCCGGTTCGAGCTCTGCCAAATGCTCCGCCGCGACTACCGCTGTTTCAACATCCCGAACAGTTCTGCAGGAACTCAACACTGAACCCCATATTGCGGAGTCCGCCTTCATCGGCATCCGGTTTATGATATCCAGGGCACGTTTCTGGTTCCCCGTTCTTGCGAGAAGATCAACGAGACAACCGTAATGTTCAATTTCTGGGGTAATGGCATAGTCGTCTCGCATGGAGTCAAAGTACCTCAAACCGTCGTCCACAAGCCCAGCGTGCCCACAGGCTGATAACAGCCCAACGAATGTGATCTCATTCGGCAAGACATCCATCCGTTTGAACAGCATGATGGCATCGTGGGCCCTTCCATGATTTGCCAGACCCACAATCATTGTGCTCCATGAGATCACATCCCGGTCGGATGATGGCATCCGGTCAAACACTTCCAGAGCTCCGTCCACGTTACCGCACTTCGCGTACATTTCCATCAGCGCGTTGCACACACGTGTCTTCCGTAAGAATCCCTTTTTAGCTGCGTAGAAATGAACCCATTCTCCTACCTCAAGCGCCCCCAGGTGTGCACACCCCGACAAGACTGCAACTAAACAGACCCAGTCTGGTTCCAGCCCGCCAACCGTCTGCATCCTTCTGAAAACATTTAATGCTTCTCTGTAACATCCCATCTTAGTGTAACCTGAAATCATGGCTGTCCAAGAAACAATGCTCTTCTCCGGCATCTCTTCGAACAACGCATTTGCCCTTTTAACCTTACCGGACTTTATGTACCCGGAAATGAGACTGTTCCAAGAAATTACATCTTTAACAGTCATTTCATCGAACAGGTTCTGTGCTTCTCTTATGCTGTCTTCACCGCAACACTTGACGTACATGTCTAGCAACGAGTTTTGTATCACGTGATTGGAGTCCAGCCCAAACTTAAACACATGTCCATGCAATTGCTTACCGATATCTGCGCAGGTAAGACCTCCGCACGACCTGATAACAAATGGGTATGTGTGTGTATCTGGAGAAACTGGCTCTTCACTCTCGGCGGCTTGTCTCCTCAACAGCAGCTGCATGTACATATATATGCAGGATCTGTACATCTTATTCTGTGAGTAGGCTCGGATTATAGAATTGAACAAATATATGTTTGGCCCTTGAACTTGCTTGAATAGCAAACAAGCATAGTCGATATCCCCATTTTTCTCACAAAAGTCTATCATTTTTGTTACCAAGAAATTGCTATGCGTTAGCGAGAATTTCACCATTTGGGAATGTATCTTCTTCATGGTGTCCACGTTCTTACAGTTTCTCAATACTAGCATCAACATATCTTCTAACCCTTTGGTCGTCAAGATTCCAGCTTTTGTGGCCGCCGTGGCCATTATTTCTTTCTCTACTGATAGATCCTAGGAATAATTCAGTTTTCCAATGACCTTTACCAGAAGAGATGAAAAGAAATAAAATTTTCAGTACTTAGCCAGAACCAATCATACCTCTGAGACAACATGAACCAATTTTAAATTTACTTCAAATTAACTCAAGAGTTAGAAATGAAAAGAAGCCCCAAACTAATTCCAAAATAAGAAATAAGTGGTAATATAGAGAAAACTAGTAAAATCAAGTTAACACAAAAAACCTGAAATAAAAATATTAAATTTTTACAGATAAAACCTCAATCTAATCGTAGACAGTGAAGACATTGTCAAATAAGGTAGTGTCGGGAAACCGACCAGACTGATGTTCTACTACCGTAACAAAAAATATAGAGAATGAAACACAGTCTGCAAAACAAGTCAGCCATTCCACAAGTCTGTCATTATAGTACAAAATTCATGCTCTCAAGATATAAAAAAGAAATGGAAACCAAATTGGGGGCTCTGAGATGTCCCAGGAGACTATGTTTTTCCTTATAAATTATGACACTTGAAGCTAGTTGAAGATCTGCATTGAAAGACAATATGCATACTCACACACACAATCTATTATAGCAATAGAATTAGGGGTCACAATGAACTTGCAACATAATACAAAGTAAGTTTTATATCAATTCTCAAAACAATCTATTTTTGGGAAGAGGTTGTAATTATCTTTCACTATAGCTACACCTATGAGAGCATACTCTCAGGAGTTCATCCCCAGCATCAGGAGCTCAGTAACCAGCCCTACCCACCACCACACAGCTATCACTACCACCACCATTCCGCATGGCTACCTGGGCCGCCATCTATACTGTTACCAGAGTTGCAATCACCACCTCATCAACACTATTACCACCAAAGGTATTACTCCCTCCATCCCCTTTTAAATGTCCCGGAAGAGGGTGGCACGAGTTTTAAGAAAAGTGGGTTTGTGTGGTTGATATTAATTGATAAAGTAAGAATAAAGTAAGAATGATTTTGAGCCACACAAACTTTACCAAATAAGGTATGAGACAATTAAATAGGGACATCCCAATATGGTAAAACGGGACATTTAAAAGGGGACGGAGGGAGTACTTATTAGTCAACAGCTACAATTGTTGTCACCAACTCACCAATCCTACTATTGTTACTGTTAGTGTTGATGTCATCATCACAATTTGAGCTTGAGGCTTTTTTAAGCGAAAGCTGCACTTAAGTGACATCATTTAGATTCTAAGAATGCAAAACAAAGCGCCCCTTTGATGCAGAAAGCAACGTGAGGCAACAAAGGTAGTATTCTCGCAGTGGTGGAGGGGATGGAAAGAGCCTCGGCCCCCAAGAAAAAATCTTATGTATATATATGTGTAAATATTTACAATTTGTAAAAAATATGTTGATGCTTTAAACCTTGGCCCCCACAATATAAAATTTTCAAGCCCCGGATCCCCTAACAATACATTCCTGGCTCCACCACTAATTCCTCGGTGCAAAAGCAAGCACAAAAGTTGAAAACAAATAAGATCATTTAGTAGTAGCAGAGGTACAGCAAGACAGCACAATTACACTTCAAACAAATGCTTTAATGATATTTCTCAGCGCAACAAATTAAAAGGGGAAAGAGGGCAGTCCAGTATAGGAAAAATCTATATCCTCTTCATACATACATTCTCTAAATAAAGAAGACCCATCAAGGACATCAAAGTAATTCTTTAGTATGTTTGTACCTCATATACTAACATGGATGCAAAATGATGAATTACTTTACTTCTGAGCAATTATTTGCACCAACCGGTTCTCTCAAGCAAGTTGATATTGCCATAACAGCAGATTCTATAGATGCATCTTCACCCTGCTCAGCATTAACCCCATCAAGATAGTGAAATGATTATGGAGAAATACAAGAGATTGCAAATTATAATTTCACCTTTTCTCTCCAGTAAAAAATATTTCCATATTTCCCAGCCAAACGGCTCCAAAAGCTCTGTGGTATTTCTATATCCACAGAAGCTCCAACATTGAAGTTCAGTATATTTCCTGTTCAGACAGAGCACAGAAGAATCAATGCTGAAATTTAGTAAGAAAAGTTGCCTGGTCATCAAGTAGATCAACACCAATAGGTAATGAATGATTTTTTGCTGCCTCACCAAAAGTAGGATCAGCAACAAAGACAATAGTCTTGTCATCCACTTTCCAGAAGTCCTTGATTGCTAATCCTGTGGAGATTGGCAGGATAATTGCAGACTCGTTGCTAAATATTTTAGTGAATTTCAAATGCTAAGTCATCAAGAAATGCACCTGGTGTATCGGGGTAATTTTGAGCCAAAATTCTCAACTTGAATCCAGTATCTCTTTCTATGTCTGTGATCACCTGTGCAAGTCTTTTCTCCTGCAGACAAATCATAAACAACATACGGAGTAATTTCTTTTATATAATTTTCCCTTGACCTTTATATGCAAAACACTTTATTTTATTTTATGAAAGTAGATACTATAGAGGGAGATGGAAGACTGTTAATGAAGCAATTGAGTAAATTAGCGGAACAGTTAGCACCACAGCTCATTCTATCTCATCTTCTATCGTTGAACAACAAAACTTATAAGTTTTTTTACACATTAGCATTTGTATATGAACTTGTATCCATTTGTCAGACTGTCCAAAATTGTAGCCCATTGGTCAACCTATCACTTCTTTCATCGTTTAGTTTCTTTGAACATTTTTTAAATACTTCTGTATTAATACTAAATAAAGTTTTATGAACAAAGTGTAAATAACTCCAGTCTACTTGTATCACTATGGCCTTCCTCTGTTTCTCATTTAAGAAGATTTACAATTTTGTTCCTGAAAGGACAAGAATTGGGAGTAGTTTAAGCAGATCATAAGAGTTCTTGAAACATGCACAAAACATAAGATTTAGCAGTTAGTAGCTATATTAACTATCATAAGAAGCACCACATGACATGTAACCTCAAAATTCATCGTTTCAAATACAATTAACAAATATATATTAATAAAATCCATTTCGGGGTGCCATGATTAAAAATACTATAGCTAGTTAACACGGATTAGTAGTTAGAAAGCACATTTACCCAAGTTAAAATTTATAGCTCGTTAATACCAAAGTAATGCTCATAATTGTTATGCTATAACATAATATAATGTTAAATGACCAAACGGGCAAAAGTTTGAAAACTAAATATGCCATTTACCCAAATTATAAAAAATGACAAGAACACATGTGATGAATGAGTTTTCCACTCTAGTCATACTACTATGGTAACAAAGACATTTGTGGTATATATTCTTGAGATTTTCAAAAACTTCTAATTATCTGTTTATTGTAATAGTGAAATTTTTTCCCAACTATAGTGGCAAAATAAAAATAACTAATACAACCAATGTCACCCTCACAAGTCACAATAGTTAAGGGACTAAAGACATGAAATTTAACCGCAAGACTTCTAAAACAGATTTCTAAAGTGTAGCTCTAGCAATAGTTGGAGTAAAAAATGCATATATTAAAAGTAGGGAAATTACCATAAACATGACCAAAAATGTTCGTATATTCCAAAATAGGACTATCATGCTTTTATTCCCAAAATAGGACTAATCATTGCCATGTTTTGGCAGTACCAGACTTTAAACATGACAAGTATATTCCAAACTTAGCAGTAATTACCCATATTTTGGAAATAAAAATATGGCAATCTTATTTTGGAATTTTCCAACTCATTTACTCCTATTTCCGGAATTTTCCCTTAAAAGTATCCCACGATAAGTAGAAAACTGTAAATGTACAAAAACTATGAGATGAATTCCCAATTCATCAGGGCTGTAGATCAAACCTGGCCATCAGAGAGAAATCCTGCAACATCAATAACAGTGGTAAACTCCTCAGGCAGCAACTCCGGCTTGTTTACCCCTATCTTTCCCTCGGCAAATGCAACCTCTACAAAAATTTCAGTTTGTTCACTTACACCAACCTAATCCGAGAAAGACTATTCCCATAAAAACAAATGCAAAAAATACATGTTAAAACTTCATTCAAAACGTGAAAATACTTCATAGCATCAACAAAAAAGGAGACGCCGAGGAGATAATAAACTAGCATTAATTCAAATACGTAGTAAGATTTAAGCTTACCTGGAGCTCACAATTAGACTATTAATATACTTTATAAGTTTTAGGATCAAAATGCAAGAGGTTTAAAGATAAAAGGGAGTATTAGTAGTAACCGGAGAGAGAGATAGCGAGAGCCAAGGAACCAGAGAGCAAGAAGTTCAAAGGCTTGAACTGGAAGTTGGCATTTACTTTGATGCGATTTGAAGTTCGGAAAGTCCCCTGTTTGAAATTGGAAAGGAATGAATTCGTGGAGTTTCGGGAATGAGAAGAAGTTGCTATACACAGCTGAGGAAGAAGCTTTGTGGCCATTCCGAAAAATCCTGAATGTTGATGATCTTCAAATGTCAAGTATGACTTCTATATAGTTCTTTTAGATTATTTCTTCTCTTTTAATTTATGAGTCAAGTTTGGTTTTCAGTTTTCAATTCTGAAGTAATCTAGACCTGTAAATAAAAAAAATGAATTTTTGTTGTACCAAAATAAGAGTGAGGTGTACAAGATTTATAGTTCCTGAATTAAAATCTAAAGGAAGATTTCTACAATTTTTTATTTAAATAAAAAGCACTAGTAAATCCTTTTAAGAAGAATGTTACAAACTTTATAAATGCAGGCCAAGGATTTTTTTTATAAAATGATTAAAATTTGACAAAGGATTGTATAATGTTTTAAAATTCATTTGTTCCAAAAAAAATGTTTTAAAATTCACTATATTAATATTTACAATTCACACCAACATGTACACGCACATAAGATCAACTAAGGTGCTGTTCTGTTCCGTCTTATTCTTATTACTTATTGCTTATTCTTATTTTATTCAGATCAGATCATATCAGATCAGAAAAATTCAGATCAGATCAGAAAGATTCAGATCAGATCAGAAAGATTCAGATCAGATCAGATCAGACCAGATCAGAAACATTCAGATCAGATCAGAAACATTCAGATCAGATCAGATCAGAAAAGTTCAAACATGATTTATCACTTTTATTATTATATTAATTATTATTATTATCAATATTGTTATTACTATTATGATTATTATTATTATATAATTATTATTAATATATTAATAATAATATGATAAAGAAATAAGATATTAATAATAGTTATAATAGTTTAATATAATAATAGTAATATAAATGCAATTATTAAGAAGACTATTATTATTATTATTATTATTATTATTATTATTATTATTATTACAATATAATAATAATAATAATAATAATAATAATAATAATAATAATAATAATAATATGATTAATATTATTATAATATTATATTATAATTATATGTAATTATAATTATATTTACAATTATAATTCTTATAATTATAAGTATAATCAATTGTAATTATTATAATTATATCTATAATTAATTATAATTATAATAATTATAATTATCACTACAATCATAATTATAATTATGATTATAATTATAATTATAATATAATATTATAATAATATAGTAATACTAATAATAATAATAATAATCGTATTATTATTAATTTATTGTAATAATAATAATATTAATATAATAATATCGTTATGATAATATTAATTGTATTTATAGTACTATTATTATATTATAATATTATAATTAATGTTAATATAAATATAATTATTATTAATTATAATTATAATAATTATAATTATAATTATATTATAATTATAATTTATGATTATAATTATTATTTTTATTATAATTATTATTATTATTATTACTACTACTACTTTTGTAATTATTTTACGGAGTAATTATAATAATATTGATAACTATAGTTACAATTATAGAGATAAATATTGTAATTATAATTACAATTATAATTATATAAGTAATTATAATTAAAAATATAATTACTGTTATAATTATATCTATATTTATAATTAGTGTAATAGGTATAAATTTTTTTTCATTTTAAATTTAATTTTAATTATTATTATTATTATTATTATTATTATTATTATAGTTACGATTATAATTATAATTTTATTTAAATTATATTTGTAATTGCAATTATAATAATTATAATTATAATTATAATCATAGAAATCTCAAATCAGATCAGATCAGAAAGATTCAGATCAGATAAGAAGGATTCAGATCAGATCAGAAACATTCAGATCAGAAACATTCAGATCAGATCAGAAAGATTCAGATCAGATCAGAAAGATTCAGATCAGATCAGATCAGATCAGAAAGATTCAGATCAGATCAGATCAGATCAGAAAGATTCAGATCAGATCAGATCAGATCAGATAAATTAAGATCAGATCAAATCAGAACTTAAAAAATTCAGATCAGAAACATTCAGATCAGGCGAAGAGAACAGCTTCTAAATCAACCTTAAAATTCTTTCGAAATTTCTAATAAGTTCATGGCTATCTTTAAATAGAGTGATTTTAAGAAGTTTTCAACGCAATCTACAAGCAAAAATGCAAGATGGACAGTCCACTTGCAATTTGAGAAAGGGATCATAAAAATGACTTCTCATATTGATTGAAATTCAAAGTAATTTTGACATAAGTGGGATACTTGAGGATTAATAATGAAATACCTTAATCGCCACTCAAGCTACACACTCACAACTTAATCACCTTACTCATCAGTCAAACTTCTTACTCACTAGTGTCAGAGACCCGGTAGAATATGAGTAAATAAGAGAGTAATAGCTAGAGTAGTATAAATAGAAGGGGAGTGAATAAAAAAGTAAAATATTAGACAGTTAAACTAGGTGATGGATACGATTTATTGTTGATTAAATATGTTTTAGTGACAGTTAAGGTACTTAGGAGCACTAATTACATGCTTGTGTGATGTAATTAGTTCTTGAACTCTAAATTCTCATTGTTAATCTACTCAATACATGTGTTAGTTCTATCAACTAGTCACCATCCATTCACATTATCATCACACAAGCATGTAATTAGTGCTCCTAAGTACCTTAACTGTCACTAAAACATATTTAATCAACAATAAATCGTATCCATCACCTAGACATATTAATCGTTAACCATGAACCTTATTGACTTATTCGTCGCTTAAGCACTATATTCATCTAGTGCTGGATTTGGTCCGGGCCACCCGGCCCGTGACCCGGCCCGGCCCGCTACTATGCGGGCCTGGGACCGGCCCGGTCTGCCGGTACGGGTCCGGATGGATACCCGAACGGGGGTGTAGGGCGGGGCGGGCTCGGTTCTTCCAAAAGGTGACCCGGCCGGGTCGGGCCCGGGTCCAACGGTAGAATTTTTTTTAAAAAAAAATCTTTTGGGCTCAAAAGAGCCGTTAGGTTGGGCTGGGACTTTCCAAACGGCTATATAGCCGTTAGGAGGGTTGTAGGGGGGGGGGTCCGGGCCTGTTGGGGGTGGGGGGAGGATGGAGGTGGGGGGTAAAAAAACTATAAATACTCCTAATATTAAACATTTTTCCACATCTTCTCCAACTCTTCCTAAATCTTCTCTACTCTCTAATCATCTTCATCTTCTTCATCTTCTCAAATTCTCTTATTCTCCAATATATTTTAGATTTTTACTATTTAATACTTATACAAATATTATTATATCAACTTTATATTAATTATTTACTTATAAATACATATATTATATTAGTTATATTTCTTATCTACTGTAACGCCCCTCTCAGGGTTAAAGGAAACGTTACACTAACATACTACTTTTAAAATAAACTGCAATATAACGGCCGTTTGTTTAAGAAATAACCCTGATAAAATCTCAAATATATCTAAGATATAACTCCAAATAAAACTCAATAAAATGCTAGTTATCACTAGCAAATGTGATAACCACCTGGATCCAGGAATTTATTCAAACTTCAAACCTTAAATAAAATAAAGTAATAATAATAAACTCTTTATTATAATAATTGAAATACTGAAACATAATAATAGCTAGTTGGAAGCCGCCAAGGTCGTCCCCGTTAACTCATCTTGGCACGCGTTCCACTCTCTCATCACCTTCCTAGGCCTTGGCCTTGCCTTTAGTATCTGTACATGCGAAGAAAGAAAGAAACTGATAAGCTTTACGCTTAGTAAGTCACTATGGATCCACAAAAATATCTAGAAGTCTATGCCAATTTATCAATAGATAAATTTAGGCTATAAGCATGCACTGAACAAATAACTAACACATAACTTCTCAATTACATTCTGAGAGAGATCTCAAAGGAAAAATATTTTCTAAAATATTTTTCTCAAAACTGCTAGAGATCTCAAAATTTATTTTTCTGAAAACATCTCTGTAAAACTCTCTGAAAGAGATCTCAAAAACTTTCTGTAAATCTTTCTGAAAGAGATCTCATAAACTTTCTATAAACTCTTTGTGGCTAATTTTAACTGTGGGCCCGTGATATGTACTCAATGGCGCCAATCCGACAGCTCAGGGGAGCGACCCACTAAACATATCGGACTATCTAAAACTAAAACTGCTAATCTGAGGGATCTAGTTCCCGAGTACATATCACTTAATCTTTCACTTTAAGTATTAGTTCTTTTTATGGTGACGTTTGACTAACATCATTAAATCTGAAACAAAAGTACTGACAAATCTTGACTATGCCAGATAATAAACATAACTTAATCTAGCAAATAAAATAACTCATCACATAATACACATAGTTCACATAATAGAAAATAGTCTAAAATTATCTATTAAAAATCAACCAGACTTCTTTCTTGCATTTGGTTGAACAAACATGTACAGGTGGTAGTGAACTTACCTGCTAACAGCTGAACACAAAATACTCAGATAAATGTGGCACCTTGATAACGTCTCCAGTAAGCTCTTCTCTTAAATCTTTAATTAGATATAATAAAAAAATTACAAATCTATTGTTTTAGACTATATTAAGCACAGAAAAATCTTACGCTTCATAACTAAGATAGCCTTATGTTACAGCCGCAAGCCAACTAAAAATAAATTCAATAATCAAAAAGTTGGGTAAAACTTTAAAAATGAACTTAGCTGATTATTATGACTAAAATTAGCAGTAGACTCTTCCAAATAAATTTTCACTCAATACATAATGAAGGAAGCTATTACTTGACAAAACTAGCTAGAGGGAGTGACTACGGATGGAACTGAAAAACAAAATTGTCTCTACAGCCAAAGAGTTGAATGATTTAAAAGCATGAGATCTCAATTAGCCAATATTGTACGGAGTATAAGAAAACTCTATAATAGAACCGGACACTAGAAGTTTAGGAAAGGAAGAATTTGACCTGGAAACTTAAATTTTTCAAACATTAAAATCTAAATTTAAGTCTGTAAACTTGCACCCTACCAGCGAAAGATACGGAGTTGGAATTGGAATTGGAGAAAGTAAACTGATCACTAAATCCCATTACTACTTTTCAAACTAGCTCAAATTGGA